AGGCGATGCCGGTCAATGGCCGTGACGGCGACGGCTAAGCTTGACATTGGAGGGACAGGCACCGCGGACCAGAAGTTGGCAGGGCCACCTCCAAGGGAAACCGCCGGTCCTGCTGGTGCCGCCGCTAGCCTCAGCGAACAAGATCCATCTTCCAACACCGACGCCACCGTTTCCGGTGGAGAAGAAGAGCATGAAAGAGAGCAGCGTCAGTGAAATTACTGCAATGCCCTCGCTTCGATTCCGGTTCTGGTTTATAGTCTCCAGTTTCGCTTTTGCTTCTGGTCGTTCTCGTTGGTCACGTGCAATCTAATAAACACCATCACCGAACTGAGAACTCTGTCCCCTCTCTCTATTTAAATGTTATTTTAAGACAGAGAGTAGTTAGCTGGAGTTAAACAAAATAAATTTTCAATTTAAATTTTAATGTGAGAAAGAGAAAGTTTAATTTAATGACGTGGATGATTTAGACCTTCTATCAATTTTTAATTAATTAAATTTTCACAATTATAAAAATTTTAAATAATATTTAAATTATTTTAAAAAATAAAATAAAACTATTTTCTCTCTCTCTCTTTGTTTGTTTGGCTTTTCTTTCCCAAATACAAATTATACTATTTCATTTTTTTCTTCTTCTGCATTTCAAATAGAGAGGGGAAGAGAATGTGTTGCGTATTCCTGCAGTCCTTATTATAAAGTCTCATAATTAATCATCATTCTATTAAATTTGCTACGAATTCAGGGACAATTAAATTTGGCCGATCTTCAGGGAGTTTCGCGCACAATAAGTGTTAAATATTATTCATTTATCATAAACATTATTTTATTTTCAATTTGATTTCACTTATTTGCTTCTATGGTGGAGCACCAAAGGGTCATTAGTTGACTCAACTAGATTAGAGAGGCATATATTGTAGTTATTATTTAAAAAAATTTAAATGACTTTTATTTTTTATTTTTTTATGTTTTATACTGATTTATATAATATTTAAAATTTTTACGTCAGATATTAGATCAGACGATACATAACATCTAAAACATAAAATTAACTAACTAAATAATATCACGTGTTCAAACTAATTACACATTGCACAATTGTTAACAGTGTTAGTGGTCACTCATAGAGAAAAAAACTGTAATACTTAGGTTCAAAAATTGGTCCGAGATCAATTTTAATAATTTAAAAATAAATAAATATTATTTATAAATTAATTTAATTTAATTTTATTAAATAATTGAAAAAAGTAGGATTGGAGATGTAATCGAAAATAATTTTAGAAAAAATGAATA